GATGGGCTGGTGCTCCACAAAAACACCAAGTGATACTGACAAGCCATGGGGTTATAAGTCTGTACCAGTACTGCATGGCACACACAACAGAATTTTACCCAAGAATACCCCCGTGCAAAAACCAAAACCAAACATATGCTTTTGGGTGCAAGGGGATCTTAGGGGGAAGTACTTTGCTCTGGTTTGAGCTACGGCTGTTGGTAGAAAATCTGGGGTTATTATAAGAGTAGCCAGGAATGGATTATGGAAACATTTTTAGACGGAGGAACACTTTTCTAGGTAATAAATCTCTTTTTAGCCCTGCCCTCCGGAAAACCCTCCCTACGTCACTGACCTTCTCCTAACTTCCTCCTCTTTGTGCAGTGACATAACCAAGTGCTGAACTAAGATAATACAGCCTCACATGATCCAGGTTCCCCCTTTTATTCATGGAAAATAAGTTTTTGGTCTTTTCTATCTAACTCTCAGCTGCATTCTTCCACCCCACCCTCTCTCAAACTGCAAGATTTTAGGAACTTCGCACTGTTTCATCATCGTTCAAAAATCTCAGAGATCCCCCACTGTCATCTGGCTGAGACACGGTTACAGCCCTTCCGAGGCAGCCACATTCCGCATTGCTCACTCTTCTGTAGGACCCCATGGACAGGACTGGTGACCCAGAGGGAAGGGAAGGTAAATCCATAAATGTGTTCAATCTGAGTTGAGTTAACCTGATGGGAGTTTCGCTGTTGTGAATGAATAAAGCCTCCCTCTGAAACTCATCTTCTAGGATGAACCATATTCTGCCCTTCACCACTAGAAATATGCTTTTCTTTAGACATATTTTTCATTATGTCATCCTCTTTGCTTAAAAACTTTCACTGTGTGCTGCTGTGCTGAAAGGATAAAGTTCAAGCTGTTACAGTTTGGCTTCACGATGTGTTCTCAGCCCACTTTCTAACTGTACCTCTAACATTATGCCCCTGCCATATAATTCTCCCTTATAGATCACTAGCACCCACTGGCTCCCAGAAATGCTTGTGAATTCCTCTATTCATGCTCTGCTCATAAGGGTCATATGGCAAGGTCCCATGTTGACCTTGAAAGGGCCAATGTGAAGCTCAGGACTTGGCACACATCTGGGATGTAGAAGCATTTACTAAATAATGAAAGTATAAATATGAGAGACATCTGAAGACTGACTTCATGTCTTTCACAATTTGAAGGTAAAGCCCATAAAAGTGATTTAATTGGGTCAAGTAGTGTAGGTGCCAATGAGGATGGTATGACTTTTCTTTGATACGAACACACACACACATTTTCACATTTCAGTGTTTCCCTATTAAAAGTAGGAATGTTTCCTTTTTCCTCCTAAAGACATGTTCTTAAATCTATCTCACAACAGAGGGCATTCTAGAATCAAGAAAGTACAGGGCATGGCATGCACTGGCTCCTTCCTGAGTCCATCAGACTTTGTGGCCCTACAGATCACATCTGCTCAGACCATTCAGCAGCCCCTACTAATGCACTCTACTCTCCTTACTACCCTGTTGCTTTATGGCTCATCACTCAAGATGACAGAGACAAAAAATACAGCTCTGCTGAGTAGATAAGCAATACACATGGAAAACAGCTTCTTAACAAACCAAGAACAAGCAAGATCTACGTATGACTACCCTTGAACTTTTGAAGGAGCCTCATGCAAGTCATTAACCTGTTCTCCAGCAGTTCCTTTTGTCCATGGGGTAGCCCATGACCTGCCACAGCCAGGGTTCTTCTTAATATTATAAACTTCAAGTCTGACCTATTCTCTGAAATTACAGTCTTACTTCCCCTTTCTCCCTTCCTTTGGAAAACATCTATCAAGGGCACTTGTCTTGTGACGCTTCTCTGTCTTCACCCCCACAGTGTCACTCAAAGATGACCCTCTATGTCCTCTTTCGTTATGCATCAGCATAGGCGGTCAGTGTTCCTAGCGTGATACAAGATGGGACTCTATCTCCCCGATCAGTAACACCCACTATATTAATGGTGACTGTCACCAAGCCCAAACCCTCTCATCCGTGTCATCCTCTCCCTCCAAACCTAGTGCAGCTTCACTAAAGAGTGTGAGTGCAGGATGCTCAGCATGAAGCACAGATAGAGCCCTCCAATGGATGTCCTTACTCCTGGCAGACACCAGGGTGTGCTGTGCCCTTGTTTGCGACACTCACTGTCAATGGAAGAGCGCTAGACAAATTGTTAACATATTCCCTTAAAATACCTCACCCAAACAACCGCAATCTACCCTCCACTTTGAAAGCTCAACCTAACTACTATCCTGATGGATTTGCTGTGTCAACTTTTCTATTTCTTCTCCATCGCCCACTCTGTCTTTAACAGGTACTATATAGGAAGGGACCCAGTGTCAGCTCCCAGTTGGGAGGACGTCAGTCCAAAGAGTTGGGTCCACTGGAAATGGGCTATCTCTGCCCAGTCTTGGCCCCACCTCTGACCCCCTGTGCAGTCTATATTCAGCCCCCTCCAGTTCCCTCTCACTGTACCTTTGAAACACAGAAAATAAAATGGAATCTGTTTCTTCCCAACTCACCCTAATGTTACAAGCACTAATGGGATGCTGCCTGCTTTGAGTATTTTGGTAAAAGGTCCAAAGAAAGGTCCATGGTCTCTATGGGTCTTCGGGTGTCACAAAGACTCAGTGCTAGTTGGACTGTGGCAGGATGCCCTGTGGTGCCAGAGAACTGGGCGGTAAGTGGGATTTTATGTTGTGAGCCATTATAACCATAACTGTGATATGCACAAGGCATGTGATTCAGTCTGGTTGATGGTGAGATCCCCCCCCTCCAAAGGACTCTCATCTTTCTTAGCCAGGGTACAGCCCGCAACTGTGCAAAACCTTATAAACCACACAAGTGGTGATGAAGGGAGACAGCATAAGCTAGGTGGGCTGTGGTTATCAGACTTACACTCATACTACAGCTACCTCTCTGCTTCATTGAAACATTTTACAAGAACTTTGTGGGTAAAAAATGACCAGATGCTTATATTCTGTAAAACAAAGTATTTCAGTATTTCACCATTGGCCTTATTTCCAGGACACTCTATCCATTTTTGTTGTACAAGTACAGTCAATGCAAAAATATAATTGCTGGGCTGGAAAATAAACAAATATGTACAAAATATGCTGAGACCTGTTAAGAAATCCTTGAAGAACCAATGCATATCACTTCGGAGGTATCTGATTCATTTACTGACGTAGCACAGCTCTCGGATCCACCACTATTCAATCATAGATTACTTCTTAAAAAAAAATAACTGGTGTGATTGTTCAGTGACCCTATTCCATGGACCAGCAGCAAAAAGAGAATGCCACAGAGGCTGTTATCTTTTCTTTTTTCAAACAGAGTTTTGAGAGACCTTCAGGGTATATCATGCAAGAACCATGTTCAGTAAACAAGCACATACATTATAGAGTTACATCACCAGCTGACATCCAAGGAGAGGCCAAAGGCTAATTGCTATGGCTAACTGCATCACTCCAAACAACCTTGTGCAAGATTTAACTTGACAACTGTATGAAGTTTACAGTCTGAAATTTCATCTACTTATTTCATGACCACTTTTTAATTACTCCTCTTGGGATATTAATGTTGTTTTCTTTTTTAAGTCACTCTGGAAGGAACAGTGATTTCATGTTTTCCCCTTTTAAAACAACTAACTCCCTGTCTGGCTAGCCCAAGGACACCTTTATTTTCTCTATTTTAAGCAACTGAGGTAGAAAACAGAGATATCAAGGTAGACCTCTAAGAAAGAACTCAGGCTGTGGAGTCAGACTGCTTGGTTCAAACACCAACTCCACCATTTAGCCCTCTGTGTAACAGTGAGAAGGTCATTTCCCTCCCTAAATCTCAGTCTCCTCATCTGTAAAATAGGCATAGCAGGACTACTGATCTCTTAGGTCCCCTGGAAGGACTGAAACAGATCATGTATGTAAGTATTTACCGCAGAGCTTGGCATACTGAGAGTACTCAAATATTGTTTTACAATATTTTGGTTTAAATACTATTGTTTTTAGTATGAGAACAATGTTGGGATCGTTGTGTTCCCTCATCCCATACTGAATAAAATGGAAATGAAGTAGGAACAATAACAAAGCTCCTTTCAGACACCATACAGTGAGTGCTCCAAGGCAGCAGAACCGTACTCAGTGTACCTAAGGGCTCATTAAAGGAGGTGAGCGAAGGGCAGTGGCAGACAACAGTGGCTGCTTGGCTTTGCAATGCCCCCAGAAGCGCAGTCTTAGAACCTGAAAATGTTCCAGTTGAGAGGAAGCCTTTAAAAAGCTTCCGTGCAACTCGATCCTCTTACAACAGGGACGGCGACAGTTTTCTCACAGGCGTGGACGCCTCTCTCACCCTCACAGAAGCCCTTCTTGCTGGACCTCTCAGGACTGCCGGAGGGCAGAGCAGCCAAGAGTAAAGGAGGGGGCCCTGGGAGGATAACCCAGAAAGAGGATGACTGACAGGTAACGACCACCTATGAAACAAGCCTAAAACGCCTCTTTCACTCCTCAAACTGTCCACTCCCAAAAATGTATGGACATCGCAGCTACACACCACCAGAAATTCGCAGTCCGGGGACATTTTCCTGTCCAGCGTGCAGCTCTCCCTGCTTCCTGTGTGGCCTGCTGGCCACAACCACAGGTGGCCTCCAGAATTAATCCAAAAAAGCAGTTCACGCTTGCAAAACGTATTATTAGCACCATTTATCTCAGGCTACCTTTAGGGATTGGGAGAGGACTGAGGTCCGAGGGGAACAAAATCTGTCGGCCTTGTATCCGGATGCCTACGGGGTTGAGGCGAGGGTCGGGAGGCTGTCGGAAGACTGCGTACTCCCAGTTCATGTGCGGTAGACGCCCCCCGACTCCAGGCCCCCCGAGGGTGGCCAGCCAAAGGGAGGCGATTCCCGCTGCCACCACCTGAGCCGGCGAAACCCCCGCCCGCGGGCCCCGCCGCGCTTACCTTGGCCCAGGAGACCGTGTAGGAGACCTGCGGGTCCCAGGAGGCGGGGCAGGGCAACTCCACATCCCCCGAACAAGTCACCTCCACCTCCCGCGTCGCGGGCGCCAGGCTGCAGGCTACAAGAGGGACAGAGAGAGCGGCGTGAGCACGCGAGCAACGGGGGTGCGCTAGGGGCCGCGGGCGACGGCGTTCCGGGCCTACCGCAGCTCAGGAGCAGGAGCTGGAGGCCGCGAGGCATGGCTGGAGCTGCCGGCCGGTGGCGCGGCGGGCGGCGCCGCCCTCTTGTACCCGCGCGCACAGGGACCTCCCCGCGCGCCAGCCCCGGGGAATCCCCGGCGGGCGGCGGAAGCGGCGGCGCGCTCCCCAACGCTGGCGGCAGCCCCCGGGATGCCCCGGCCCCGCCCCCGCACCCCACCCCCGCGCGCCCTAGCCCCGCCCCGCCCTCCGCCCCGAGCTCCCCGGGCTCCCCGGGCTGCCTAAGCTCTCTTCGCTGCGCCTGTGGCCGGGCGGAGGCCAGAGCCGGCCCCGCGGGACGCCGGGCGCGGGGGGCTCTGCTGGATTCGGCGCTGGCCGACGCCGTCCCGCCGACCTTCCCGAGGCGGCGGGGAGCGAGACAGCCCAGGTGGTTGTGTTCTTTCCACCGGGGCGGAGCCGGATTCAGAGAGGTTGAGCAGCTGCCCCAGTCACCCAGCCTGACGTGGCGCAGTTAGTGGTGAACACAGGTCCTCACTCTTTTCCAGATTCTGGGCTCATTGAAGGCTCCAAGGCTCCAAAGGCACGCTGCAGGTAGTCCTTAGCTCCCTGCCTTCTGGCGTGGGCCTTCAGACAGCCTGAGTACATTCTTCCGGAAAGGACGGCCTCTCCTATTAAAATAAAAAATACACACACAATTTTAGGAAATATCTAGATAGATAGATAGATAGATAGATAGATAGATAGATAGATAGATAGATGATAGATTAGATAGATAGATAGATAGATAGATAGATAGATAGATAGATAGATAGATAGATAGATAGATAGATTAGATAGATTAGATAGATAGATAGATAGATATCCTAGAAGAATTAGAAGTCATTTATCCATATCCATCCAGAAGTAACTTCTGTTATTAACATTTTGGCGTCTTTGCTACAAGTGCACAGAGTATTGTTGGGGGGTTCTCTGCGTACTGTTTTGTAAACTACCTTTTTTTAGTTTAATATTTTGCAAGAGTTTTCACATCATTAAAAACTTCAACGGCATCACTTTGGTGGCTGCGGTTTTACCATAAATTAGAACCCCGTAGATAGTGTTAGACGCTGTTAGTCTGGTGTTACTAATCTAGATAGTGTTAGTTTTAGGTTGTTTCTTTTATTATTAATAATACAAACTGCTGGGATTGCTATGATGAACTTTAACGGAAATAACCTTTGCTCTGCCATTATTTATTTTCTTAGAATAAATACATAGAGGAAGTTGTTATAGATCAAAGGGAATTTACAATTTTGTTAAATATTGGCCAACAGTAACGCCACTGAAGTGCCCTCAATCTGTATTCCCACACCTGCAATGTCAGCGACTGCCTGTTTCCCAACACTCTTGCCAAAATACATTGTTATCAAATTTCTACATTTCCATTCAAGGGGTTACAAAGAATGGTCATGACAGTGACATTTAAAATTTGCCCTTGAAAGGGGCAATAACAAAAAACAGTCACAACAGCTGTAAGCAAGTGCCTTTTCCCCATAATCCTCACCAAGCTAACTTTTTAATTAGCAAAGTTTGAGTCATACAAAAATTAGTATAGAAAATTTTTTAAATCAAGCCCTTCAGTATGCAATATATTCTTAGCAAAACATCTGTCCCTTGCTAGATCCCATACCTGGGCATTGAGGCTTTCTTCCAACTTTTCCCTGTTATGAAGAATGTAGCCTGAAGCTGGGGAATGTTCAAACCCTCTGGCCCAGCAATCCTATCCCATTAGTAGATGGTGGCATCGCAGCCTCCAAATGCCAGTGCCTTAGCAGGGCTTGGCATTCTCAGATTTTTTTTTTTCATTTTGCCAATCTACTGAGTGTAAAGGGTTCGTTCCTTTTTGCTTCCATGACATTGGTTACTAAGAGGGAGCAACATCTAATCTTGTTTCGAGGCCTGTGGGTGCCCTCTTTTGAAGATTGCCCGTGCATATCATTTGGCCTTTTCCATTGGAGTTGTTTATAAATTCTGGGCCAAATCCTTTTTGGGTTATGCGCACACCAACTGTCTCTTCCAAATTGAAAGTTTATGTTTCACACTTTGTGGTGGCTTTCATGTACAAAAGGGTTTTTTTGTAAAAATATTTTAATGCAGTCAAATGTCTTGGTCTTCTCACTTAAGATTTGTGCCTCTAGTGTTGTGTTTAAGAAATCTTTTCCGACCCTGAGATCATAAAAACATTCTCCTTCATTTTCTTCTAAAATTCTGAAGTCATGCTTTTTCATTTGTAGGTCTTTAATCTGTTTAAATGTGGTTTGATGTAGGGGTCTAACTTATTTTTTCCGTATGGATAACCAGTTGTTCCAATGCTGCTTGCTAAGTCTTTTTTTTCCCCATTTATATGAAACAACATCTCTGTTCTGTGCATATTTCCATACATGTGGGGGCCTGTTTCTAGACTCTTTTCTGTCTGTCCCTGTGCCAATGTCCCTGTGCCAATATCACACTTCCTTATTGATTAAACTATAGTTGAGTTTTGCTATGGTGATAGAGTGAGCTCTCTCATGTGGATCTTCCTCTTCAAAACTGTCCTGGAATTCTTGGTTCTTTGCATATTATATTATATATATCATAATCAGCATTACACATATCAACTTGTGAATCTCAAAAAATACTGTTTAATCCATTCAAATTATAAACTGCAGAAAATCAGCATATTTAGAAAGTGAATCTACAAATCATCCATATTGGTGTCTTTGCATTTATTTAGATTGTGAACAATTTTTAAAATTTCATATGTAAAAGCTTTCTACATCTTTTGGGCTATTTATTCCTAGATACTTTTATATTTTTGGTTGTTAGGTTCACAGTATTTTCTGAATTTTTCTAGTTGCTCATTGCCAGTGAATAAAACTTTACTTTTGTATAGCCAGCAATCTTGCTGAACTGTTCATTGAACTGTTCATTTGTTAATAGTGGACTCTCCATTAAGATGTTTTATAGTTAGGAATTCTTTAGGGCATTTTCCTCCCAAAATTTCAAATGTATCATTTGGTTTTCATTGATGGTGCTAGTGTCTGACAGTAGAGTATGCTGAAGGATGTGGTCTATAGGACTCTGCTGTTTACCACAAAATATTTGCTGGCTAATGATCTGGTAAATGTGTCATGTCTTCTTGGAAGAAATGTGCACTCTCCACATGGGTCTGTCTCTCTGATCAAGCCTGCTCACTGTGTGGTTCAGATCTATAGACTTACCAGCTTTGTGTCATCTAAACTGTCAGTTACTTGAAAGAAGGTGTGTTCAGATTTCCCCCTAACTATGAAATAGGCTATTTAACATCGAAATTTTATCAATTTTTTGCCTCATGTAACTAGATGACTTGCTTTAAGTGCCTGCAAGTTATAATTATCTCTTCCCAGTGAATTGTCCATTTTCTCTTTATCTAGTGACCTTGTTTTAATTTTCCTGCATCAGGGACCACCTTTCCTGTTCTCACAACCACGCATGTTCTTTGGGCTGGCATCTTGCTAGTATTTTCTATACTTTTACACTCAATATTGCATTATCCTTATGGGTCTTTCTTAAAGTATGTGGTTAGAGTTTTCTAGTCCAATACAACTGGCAGTCTGTCTCTCTAATTGAGAGTTTAATTGTCCTTTTTTTCTGAATTCTGCTATATTTGAATTTCAGTCATCTTGCTTCAGACTTTATATTTAACCTAATTTACCCCTGATTTTGTTTTTATTTCTTGTTTCTATTTAATATTGACCAAATTGGTTACACTCAGTGGTGTTCTCTCCACTGGTTTGAAATTTACACATTCAATTTCTCCTCTTAAGTGATTACCTTTGTATAACTTTTGATAAGCGTTACTGATTTTATGAAGTTTGAAGTTAGTCAACATTGCCATCTTTCTCCCCAAAATGCCTGAATGCCTGACCTCTGCTCATCTCCTGCCCATCATACTATTCTGACAGTAGCATTCTGCCTGATTTTTCTGCTCCCCAATTAGTCTTTCTTATGTATTAATATTTGTTCAAACCTAATATCATGCATCTCACCACTTCTTTTTCATATCAGTTTCTTCTGAATAACCTTCCTGAGTAATTCTTTCAGCAAAGACATGTTAGTGGCAAACACTCCTTGTTTTCACTTGTCTTAAAATGTTTATTTTGCTCATATTCATAAATGATAATTTATTGTAATGGAAATCAATGGTTGTTTTCTCTTAGAACTTTGCATATATTATTCCACTGTTCTCTGGCTTCTATTGTTGCTCTTTCAGAGTTCTGGACAATCTGATAGTCCTTTGTAGACAACAGGTGCAAGTGCTTCTAAGATCTTGCCTTTCTACTTGGTATTGTTTTAGTTATACTATGTTGTGACCCATAGAGAATTTTATATCATTTAACCTGCTGAGATTTGCAGCTTTCCGTAGTTTTGGAAACTTCTCATTTATTCTCTTGGAATATTGCCTGGACCTCATTCTCTCTGTTGTTTCCTTTCTGAGCACCTGATAGTTGTGTGTTGGACCCTCCCTTTCCACACTCCAGCTCAGTAAGCTTCCCGGTACGGTCTTCATTACTCTGTGCAAGCCTCTGAATATTCCTCAGGTCTGTCTTTCCACTCACTAGTTATTTATTCAGCAATATGTAATCTTTAGTTTAACATATTATGTTTGAAGCTTTAATTTTTAAAAAATTTCTGAAGTTATATTTGATTTCTTATTTAACTCAGTCTGGTCTTCTGTTGTGTTCTTTATTACTTCTTTTATGACTTCTATAATTTTAAAGATGTCTTCCTTATAGTTTACCTGATACTTACATTATTTGAAGTTCTTGGGGGTTTAATATTGATTTTTCCTTTGTTTGCTAACTCTTTTTTGACAGATTTTTTTTTCACATATTTTGTAATGTTTAATTGTAAATTAATCTTTACTTGGGACTTCTCCCAGGGGAGTCCTGGAGGGTCTCAGTAGAGGGTGTTGCCTTGCAGAGAGATTTATGTTTGTTTCAGCCAGGTTCCCCAGAGGTATTACCAGCCTGTGACAGCATTTTATATGACTCTCTTGGTGGTGTATGTCCTAGAACACTCAAGTAATGTCAATGTAAATATCATGTCCAGGTGAGTCACTTCTATGATTATGAATTTTAAGGGGATGCTTTTTTTTTTTTAAATATCATGCTTCCTTGTC